AATACTGATATTCTCGCATCCTTATGCGGTCATCAGTTCCATTCTGATTCCTAGCCACTTCATGTTTAGGTAGAACTACTCTGTAGAATTTGTACAGCTGAGCTTTTTTGGGTGGGTTTGAACTACCAACCTTTCAGCCTTCAGCCCTTCCGATGGATGTTTAGATTACTCAGGTATAATCAGTTTTTCTTAAGAAAATGCTGAGGGTCTTTTTAAAGTGTTACTGTGTGAATGAATGTAGGTGGAGGTCAGTGTGTATGAATGGACAAACCTGAAGCCTAGGCCTGTTGGCTTTGGTGGTTGCTAAGATGCAGTGCAGTGAGTGAGTGAGTGAGAGCACAGGCTCTGGGGCGTGCTGCAAGAGTGGGATCCTGGCTCAGCGACTGCCTAATCCCAAGCACGTCACTTAGACTCTCTGTGCCTGTTTCCGCATCTCTAAAATGGAAGCAACAATAGTACTAACCTCATATAAGTCATAGGAAAGTTAAATGAGTTTATAAGAGTCCCAGATGGTGTACTCAGCTCCTAACAGCAAGGTTGTAGGTTCAAGTCCACCCAGAGGTGTCTTAGAAGACAGGCTTGGCAGTTAACTTCTGAAAAAAAGTCAGTTGTTACAAAGCCCTCCCCAGCACAGTTCCCATGAAGCAAAGTCAACACAGTGACAATATCTCTTAAAAGTTGATTTAAAACTCTTAAGACAGTTTCTAACACAGTGCTGCTACATAAGTTTTATTTTTTCATGAAGTAATCAGAGTATACAAGAGGACTTTAAAAATGCAATGGAAAAAGTGGAATTTTTTCATGAACTCTTTGAAGTCCCCTTATATATTGAAAATATTCTGTACTCATAGTTAGCCATAAAATCTATCTGTGGGTGTTGTTGAATTCATGCTTCATGAATGATTTTTCTGTGGTCCATCTTCTCCAGAGGCTGGTTATGTGGCTACCCCCATCGCCATGGTTCAAGCAGCCCTGACTCTTCTCAACGATGCCTCTGATCTTCCTAAGGCGTAAGTTCGATTTTCTTCCCTTCTAGTTAAAAAATTGTTTTCCATTTATTTTCTGGCTTTTAAAATTTATGTAAGCATTTATAGTTCCTTTGAGGCAAAGATACAGGTAAATTAAAATTATGAACTGGATCATTCCTTACCGATTTGCGGGAACAACTGCAGAACAAATAAGGGGAGACAGAAAAGTTTGAAAGCCATGTAAGTTGACTCTAGATAGTCATGTTAATAGCTCAAGTCTAGAATCAGTCACTTGAAAAAGGTTTTCTGTTGTTAAAGGACATTAACAGGCATCTCTAATCAATGCTGCAGGATACTGAGCTGGCATTGGGAGCCCTGCCACCGGTGGATGATTTGAGTCATGGGAGCCTGGCTAGATGATTATCTCATGGACTAGCTTATGGGAGCTTTTAGCTGGTACTTTAAAACTAGGCCAGTTTACAAATGAGCATAGGCCTCTAGAAACAAATTAAGCACGACCTAAAACAATATCAAGTAATAAAAAGAAAAATTGTATGGAGTAAAATCTAATAATTTTTTTTTCAAATGCTAGCTATTGCATTTAAAGAAACATTTTCTCATCTAGTTTAAGTCCTGTTTCTGCTTTAATAATAGTTGATTGCCTAGATGTATTTCATCCAGGAATCGATTGAATCCTCAGAAGCGTGAGGGCTATTTGGATACAAAGTAGTTGTTCAAGGGCCTGGTGCTCTCTGCCCTCTGACTCGGCCGTTGGTGGGAAACAGAAGCATGAGGAACTGAACTAGGCTAGGTGGCTCTGGTTTCCTCCTGCCTGGACTCATTTGGCGGATTTTAGGAACAGAACCAAAAGTAATCCATGAAAGAATCATGAGTCAGGTTTTGGCGGGTTGTGCAGTGATTTGATAGCTGGTCAGGCACCGTGGCTGAGGGAAGGGCGGCAGTGGCCTGTGAACTTTGTTTTACTCTGTTGTTGTTGACAGGGGCGGCGTCTTCACACCTGGAGCTGCTTTCTCCAGAACAAAGTTGATTGACAGACTCAACCACCGTGGCATAGAATTTAGTGTTATTAGCAGCTCCGAAGTCTAAGCTTTTCAAGAAATAACTACAGCCATTGCATGCATGAATCAACAGCTTCTGTACTTGATACTTGATAGATAATCTTTTGTAAGGCTGTCTGACCATATGTGGAGGATTGCCAGATCTAAAATATCTACTCATTAAAAGCAGGAAATTGAACTAGCCTACCCTAAAATTTAAATCTCAGCTGATTTTGTGATTTTTATAGCTTGAGAGAAAGAACTCTAATATTGTAAAGGAGCTGCCAGGATAGGCAGGGGACCTTTGACATGTTACCGTGTGTTTCTGCATGAGAGTATTCATCAGGGCAGCTACTTCCTTTGCCATGCTATTGAATGGACTCTCACTTCCCAGTGAGGATCTCTACATCCTGTGTGGGCCTTTATTAAGTGAAACGGCACTTTTTGCCGACTTAGCCTAGATTCTTAGTATCGTACCTATCTATACTGATTGATTTTGGCCTCTTGTTTCAGCTGAATAATAAAGGATTGTCAATTGAATGGTGATTTCATGTATGAAACTGCCCATAGGTATTTGAATAGTGGCAGAAGATTGCTTACTGTTAATAATTGGGCTTGTCATTCTTTCTTTTCCTGCTTCTGTGCCTACAATGTATAGCTTAAGGATTCAGCTTATGTGTATCGATTTCCTCCCTAGCTTTTGAAGAATTTTTCTCTAATTTTTGTACTGTAGGTTGTCCATTGAAGCCCTAAGACATGTACTTTTTGTAATAGCATTTAATAAACACACAGTGTTCTGTGCCATTCATTAGGTAAAGAGGACAGCCCCACCTTATTGGAATTTCTGCTCCAAAGTGAGAAACATAGCAAATACAGGAACATTATTTGTGCTAAGCGACCTTTCTGTGCTTCTGTCTTGGGTCAGCCAGAGCTCACTGGTAGGAGTACTGCTCACTCTAACTGCACTTCCTCGGGCCTGCCTGATCCCAGAGAGATGATGGTCTACTCACTGGGAAATACTGATTTTCATCTCAGTTTGCCCACGTTTGCGGGACCATAGGAAATGTTTTAGCACCTGTAAAGCATATCTTACAACTAACTGCATATCAGAATCACAAAACAACTCCAGGTTCTGGAGGGACCCCGGGGGCTTGTATTTAGGAGATTTGGGGGTTTGGGGAAGCTGTGTTTGGCCCTACATTTGGAAACCACTGGACAAAGCTGCGTGTTCGGTAGGATTGCTTTCAGCTTTGCTGTGTGTTCCTTGCCCTTGTGCTGTGCTCGCCTCTTAGGTGACATGTATGTACCGAGGTAGCAGAAAGACCTGTCTTCCAGCTTCAGATAGCCATCTGGCCGCATCCTAGGTTTTCTCTGAATCCCCGGAGGCCCTGCGTGCCCCACCCGAGGCCTGCCTCCATCCAAACTGTTCATGAACCTGGCGGTGGAGATTTCAGTCATTCCTGTTTGCAGTGGCCAGGCAAGGAGAGAACTGGAGACGCTCTGCTGTTCTCGCCATCACTGACAGGCTGTTTACAATTCAGCAGTGCCCTTGTTGGTCCCTGTCCCTGCCTTTACTATGTGGAGCTCCCAAGTTACACTTGATTTTTTCCAGTTGTGGTGCACAGACTCAAGCCCAGAGCTACAGGCAAAGCTCACGCCTCCTCCATACTCCCGTGGGCCCTAGTGCTAAGATGCAATGTGTGTGTCCGCCTCTTCCAGCCATGGTGGCCTGTTCTGCCCCTAGCATTTGATTTCCTTTAACTTCAGATGTTAAGATGCACGGATTAGTGTTATCACTTCTTATTTCCTTCCGAAAGACTTGTGGAAATCAGCCCAGCCTTTCCCTTGGTCCTTCCTGTGTATCAAGGCAGCAGGCCCTAGAATCAACTCCACTGCTTAACAAAATGGGGGAAATGTGCAAGATTATAGTGTTATTTTAGGAGTGAAATGAGTTGTTTACCCATTTGATTCATGCCATGGTATACACTAGTTAAATCTGTTTTTAGGAACCACTCTGATTATAAGGAATCATTTAGTCCTTAACTAGGACCTATTAATCCTTAACCGAGGATCCATCAAGTGTGAAATCAAGGATCAGCTTCAGTATTAGCAACTGGTAGGCCTTTTCTGTGTCTACTATTCCAGGCACCTGCACTAACGCCCCAAGTTCCAGGCACCAATGCTGCTTACTGAGTTGAATGTACCATATATACTCACGTGTAAGCCGGATTTTTCAGCACACTTTTTATGTTGTTCTTGTGGTAAAATTAGGTGCCTTGGCTGATAATTCGGTTCGGCTTATACTCGAGGATGTATAAGCCTATGAAGAAAGAAAATAAAACAAGGGTAGAAAATTAGATCAAAGCAAGGATATGAAGATGAAGGACAACCAATAAAACTACTTTTTTAAAAAATGAGGAAATAGCCGTTGTTTCTAGGTCTGACAGATCAAAAGAGCTGTCTGAAATTCTAGACTGTTTACCACAATTATTACTGGTGAGTGCTATTAATTGCCTCTGCGTACCAGGCATCGCACTACGTGGTGTATCTGCATTGACAATCTACCACCGACATTACCCTTCACATGTAGCACGAGAAAGGAGGAGGGTGAGACAGAGGGGAAGCCACTTGCTTCACATCATGGAATTAGTAAGTGGAGCCAGGATTTAGCCCCAAGTAGGTCAGTTCTAGAGCCCAGTGTTAGCCATTCCCTCAGATACTTCCCATCTCCACTTTGGATAGAGACCTTTTCTTTGTTAATGTTTGACTTAAAATATATATGTTTTAATAGACTTTATTTTAAAGAAGTATGTGTTCAAAGAAAAAGTTATACAGAAAGTACAGCATTCTCATATGCCCCTTCCTCACAGTGTACTTGTTTACATTATTTTAAATCAAATTGAAGGAAAATTTTGCTTTAAAATGATAGAAAAAAGGAGTTGAAATAAGTTGAGTCCACAATTCAGCTCTCATAGTAAAGTTCATTAATAAGCACATTGAAAATTCACATAGTCTTCACAGCTCACGTTTTCTGTTGGGGTACTGTTTTTATTTGATAGGTCGTAAGCAGTCTTCTTTTTTATTATAAGAGCAACATCATTTTTCAATTTCCACAAGCTGGATTCAAATAGGTCGCCAAAGTCCTTTAACATTTGTCCCTGTTTGTGGATAAACTGTCGAAGCATCTGATCATTGCCCTAATAAGGGAAAGGGAAAAAAAAAGATAGTCATAGGTTTCCCATGAGTCTTGGTGACGCCATGGTAATTAGGAGCTCCGTGCCAACCAAAAAGTTGTGGCTCCAACATCCGCAGTGGGCCTCGCGGGAGATCTCGTGACCTGCTCCCCTGCAGATCACAGGCAAGAACCCTCGGGGGCAGTTCTGTGCCACCTGAGGTTCCATGAGTCAGGGTGGACTTGATCGCGACCACCACCAGAGATTTTGTACTGTGTGTACATGGGTGGGGTGCGCACTAGCGTTTCCCTTGGGACTAGAAAGCTGTCTTGGAAACAAAGTTACTTTGAACATGACGTTGTTTCAGGAAGGTCGCCTGACTAACCTTTTAACTCCTCTCAGCAGGGAAAATAAGTGAGATAAGCCCCATCTTCCCGATTGCATTGTAAGCATATCAATCCCGTAAGACTGTATAAGTTGTGAGGCTTCCAGGGACGCCGTTCCTTGTTGCTAATGAGCCCTCCTCTGTGAAGCAGGTTCTCCTGAGAAGACTGTAGACTTACAGCAGACTGTGAGTAATGGTGCAGAAGAGGGGGGTCATCACAGAATGGGGAATGAGAGCACTGGGTGGGACAAGGCATCTCATTTTTTAAATTTCTCTGATTATCTGGGAAAGGCCTATTCAGATCCTGTGCCCATATTTCCTAATGTTTTCAAAAAGGTCTCATAATTATTTCAAAAATTAGAGTTCTTGGGCTATGGTTATTTAAAAACCTTTTAACGGTGTCTTTTATTCTAACTCAGCAACCCTATGTAGTGTTTCCACGGCTGCAGCCTTTACACGAACAGATCACCTCATTGTCCTCCCACTAAGCGGGTGGGTGTGAACCACCCACCTTCTTGGTGACAGCGCCACCAGATGCCTTAATAAATCCAAAGAGCACCCAAAGTGTAGGCACAGGTACAGTAAAGTGAATACCTGTCTAATTGTCACCTGGTCAGGAAACCCGAGTTTGCCTCCTCTGCTCCTTCCTGGTCACATGCTCTCATCTCTCCCAGAAGCAACCAACAGCCTGACTTGTGGGATTAACATTTTTGTACCTTTCTGAACAGTTTGACCACCTAAAATGCAACTGTACACAGAATATTTTGCCTGTCTTTTGAACTCATTCAATAACACTATTGGTGATAAGAACCATCCTTGTTACACATAGATGTAGTTCATTTCACTGCAGTATAATGTTCCATGGTAAAGAAGAGGCCATCATTAATCTACCTTCTGTGGATCTATGTCAGGGATGTTCCCAATTTGGGGCTCTTATGCTTCCATATGGATGTTAAGAATAGGCGTGCATATATGCAGAGTTTCTGCAACCTTTCCTAACGGGGCCCTCATCTGAACCACACAACCAAAATTATTTGAAGGACACATTTTGCTAGACACATAAGGAATTCTGATGGCGTAGCCCTGGTTTATGTGTTGGGCTGCTAATTGCAAGGTCAGCAGTTTGAAACGACCAGCTGCTCCACGGGAGAAAGATGGGGCTTTCTACTCCCACTGAGTTACAGTCTCAGAAACTCACCGGGGCAGCTCGATCTTGTCCTAACGGGCTGCTATGAGTCGGCATCAACAGTGAGTGAGCTTGTAGGACACAGAGAAGAGGACCTACTCTGTTTCACACCGTGGATTCCTAAATGCATTGGTTCTCAAACTTTATAACTGAATCATTTGAATGACAGCTTGTTAAAATTCACATTACTGGGCCCCACATCTAGAGTTTCTTAATCAGTGGGCCTAGTGTGAAGCCCTGACTTTGCATTTCTAGTGAACTCCCAGATGACGATGAAGCTGCTAGTTGGGGACCTCTGCCTTAGAGCTTAATTGCAGAACCAGTTTTATCTTTGGTGAAATAACATCTGTGAGTTGGATTGACAGGTTCTAGGGCAAATATGCTGTACACCTCTTTAAAGTGTTAAAGAGCAAAGAGGTTACTTTGAGGAGTAAGGTGTACCTGGCCCAAGCCATGGTATTTTCAGTCTCATACGCATATGAAATCTGGACAATGGATAAGACAGGAGAATTGATCATTTGAATTACGGCGCTGGCGAAGAATATTGGCAAGGACGAATGCCAGAACAAACGAGTCTGTCTTGAGAGAAGTACAGGCAGAATGCTCCTTAGAAGCAAAGGAATCGCGCAACTTCTTCGTCTCGCGTACTTTGGACACGTTGTGGGAGAGTCCAGACCCTGGAAAAGGACATCCTGCTTGGTAAAGTGGAGGAGCAGCCCGTCCACAGAGGCATTAACACTAGCAGCGGCAGCATGGGCTCAAAGCAACAGCTGTGAGGGGACAGGACCAGGCAGTGTTTGTGTTCTACGTATACAACCTCAAATTATTAGATAAACACCACAGAAAAATTCAAGTGACTATGTCAATTTATACTTCCATTGGCAATGCATGAGAGGCTCTGTTACTTTTTATCTACACCAAATCTTTGATATTGTCAGATTAAACTTTTGCCAATATGGCAGATGCAAAGTATTTCAGACGTCCGTTATAGTTCTCAAACTAGTCATGTGAGTAAGCCCCTTTTCTTACATTTGTTGGCCATTTTGGTCTCTGTGATGTTCCCATTCATGTCCTTTGGCCATTTTTCCTATTGGCCTCTAGCAACGAGGCCATGGAGTTAGTTCTGACTCAGCAACCCTGTGTCCTGCGTGACTGGGCTTGAGCCCAGCGTGGCACTGGCTTTCATCTGTGTCGTTCCATCGTTAGCTCATGGACAACAGAAACAGCGTCCAGCCCTGCACCATCTTCACAGCTGTTCCGGCCACTGTGCAGTTTGTATCCAACCCCTATACTGTATAGACTATACTGTCTTCATTACAAGGGAAAATATGTGTTGATAAAAAGGTTGGAAAAATCTTCCCACCCAGCCAGGTCTTGGCTACTCTTTGCTTTTGCAATTCCTTGTAAGTTGTAGAATCGTCACGTCCGATTCCATCACATTTAACTGGGATTTCTCTGAACCTCTAACTCAATTTGGGGAGAATTAACAGACTTACAATAGTAAATCTCCCAAGCCATGGAGACCTGGCATGCTTCTCCATTTATTTAGATCTTTAATGTTTCAATAAATTTTAAACATTTTCTCCATCCAAGTCCTGCATATTAGTCCTATTAGCTATAGGCCTGAGCACTTCATATATCTGAAATAATTATAACTGGTCTCTTTTCAGACATTCATTTTCTGTTCAAATTAATTTTAAATGTGTCTATATCTAGCAACTTTGTAATTCTTCTGGATATTTTGTTGATACAGATAGTATCATCTGGGAGTCATGGGGGCTGCACAATATTAAAAACATATATAGATGTGTGGGACAACACTGGCTGGTTTGAGTCTGGCACTGCTATGTGCCAGGTGTGTATCCTTGGACAAGCTTCTTAATCTCTTGTGCCTTTGAGCTATAGACTGTAAACACTAGTAGTACCTGCCTCATAGGAGAGTGGTGAGAACTGTCAGTACATAGTATGTGAATACTATGTAAATCTATGCTGCCATTGCTATTAAGGGCTGCCAATAGCAGTGTGAGTGGTTGAACCCACCAGAAACCCTGAAGGAGCAGTTCTACACTGTTGTGTAGGGCTTACGGGATTGCTGTGGATAAGAATTGACTTGTTAGTAGTACGTTTGGTTTTGGGGGTGGGTTTTTTTCCCAAACCTTATATCTTACATTTCTTAACTCACTGCACTAATTAGAACTTCAACTACAGTGTAGTTGGCACCCTTGACCTTTTCCTGATCTGAAGGGGACACACTTTAAGCTTTCTCTTTATAGGATGTTTAAGATTACCATTATCAGATTAAAGAGTGCCCATTGTATTCCTAGCTCATGAAGAGATTTTATTATGGTAATATGTTGAATTTTTTTTTTAATATGTTGAATTTTATTACAAGCTTTTCTTGTATCCAAGTCTCGGGGTTTTTTTCCTATCTGTGAATATGATGAATTACATTTATGGCTTTATAATGATACAAAAAACTTACATCTCCAAGATATTCTATACATTGTAAAGTGAATGAATCTCAATCCTGCGGCGACCTGGGGCCAGCCTGCTAGCCTGCACCCTAAGGTAAGCCACAAGAGAGGGCAAATGGAGCCCTGGGGCACATCCGCACTGTTAACCCAGCCCCCTGCTCAAGACATGCAGTGATACCAGATGCCTCAATGGAAAGGGTTCTTTTTGTCCCCAAGATTCTAGGTACTTACAGGAGGCTTGTAATGCCTTAGCCGGAGAAACTGCCCTCTGGCCATATTCATGCTCTGGTAGAACAGCTTAAGAACTCTGGCAAGTTCTCCATCATAGGTGGCTCCCGGAGCACATATCTGATCAATATCTTTGGCCGATGGCAATTGTACTGCCATCCCAGTTATCTTCAGGGCACTGGAAGGCTTTTGGGCTGTGGTAAAAAGGAAAGATCATACCATTCATCTATTAAAATATATGTTTTATTTTGTTGTATTACACAACATCAGGTACCAATTTGGACTCATTCAAAGAAAGAATTCTAGGCCAAAAAAAAGTGTTGTGTATTTTTTTTTTTTTGCTTAGTAAACAAGTAACTTATTAAAATGTTCGACCCTTTGAAGGACAAACTCCCAGCAAAATGTTGGTGTTCAGGGGCAAGCTAAACAACCACAACTTGAGCAGACACTCACCTTGTTGACTAGAGCCAATTTTCGCCAGTGATTCTTTGAGAAACATGTTTTCTTCTTTCAGGGCTCTGTTAATGTTTCTGAGCTGCTCTGTCTCCTGCTCCACCTTGAGCAGCTTCAGGTAAAGTTCTGATACATGATTTGATGCCGTCTACAAAAACAAACCAACTTGTCAGTTCAGCTTTTGCTGGAGTATTTGCTTCTCCCCTGAAACATCTTTTGCTACACACAAAGTGGACTACCATTGGGTCTTGCTCATATGCTACTACCTTCTGAATGGGTGGAATGTCCACTAGTTCCATTTGGTATAGTGACTGCGTATTATTTCCTTCTTTTTGGATGCTTCTTGTATCAGTCACTATTTTGCCTACAGAATCTTTCAAGATTGCATCAACAAGCTTGACATTTTTCTTTAGCTCTGTGAGTTGAAGATCTGCTGAGCATGTTCTTCCTTTCTGGTTCTCTCATTCTAGGTCTTTGCACATTTCATTATAATATTTGTCCTTTGCTTCTACAACAGCCCTTTGAAGTTTTCTGTTCAGATCTGTGGCTTCATCATTTTAGCTGCACTATGATGAAGAGCAAGTTTCAAAGCCTCTTCTGACTTCCATTTTGATCTTTTCGTTCTTTGCTGTCTTTTTAATGACCGTTTGCTTTCCGCATGGATGATGTCCTCAGGGCTTCTGTCTTTAGTGGTCAATGCATCAAATCTGTTTTTGAATGTTCTCAAAATTCAGATGGGATAGACTCACATTGTATTTTGGCTCTTATGGACTCGTTTAATTTTCTTCAGCTTCACCCTGAACTTACATCTGAGCAATTGATGATCTGTTCCACAGTCGGCCTCAGGCCTGATTTTAGCTCCTAATATTGAGCTTTTGCATCATCTCTTCCCATAGATGTAGTCCATTGATTTCTGTGTATTCCGTCTGGAGAGGTCCATGTATATAGTCACCTTTTGTGTGCCTGAAAAAGGTATTTGCTGTGAACAAGTCATTGGACTTGAACATTCTGTCACGTGCTCTCCACCTTCATTTCTATGCCCAAGACCATATTTTCCAACTATTATTCTTTCCTGTTTGTTTCCAACTTTTGTATTCCAAGTGCCAATAATTATCAATGCATCATAGTTTGCAGGTTTGATCAAGTTCAGACTGAAGATGTTGGTAAAGTTCTTCTAGTTCTGCATCACTAGCTTTAGTGGTTGGTGCATAACATTGAATAATACTCGTAGTGACTACAATTACTATTGATATAATCCTATCACAGACAGCATTGCACTTCAAGATAGATCTTGAAATGGCTGTGACACCATTCATCTTGATTGTGTCATTCCCAGTACAGTATGCCATATGATTTTCTCATTCCCAAAGGCGAAGACCAATTCATTTTAGCTCAACACCTAGAATATTGAGCTTTATGTGTTCCATTTCATTTTGGGCAGTTTTCCTAGATTCCTCCAATTTTCCTAGATTCATACTTCACACATTCCTAGTTCCAATTATTCACTGGTGTCTGCAGCTGCTGCTTCTCATTGTGAAGTGTGCCCCACCAGCAAATGAGGTCCCAAAGGCTTTCCTCCTGCAAGCTGTACTCCTCCCACGCCATCCTGGCGGACTCTGCCTTGAGCAGGCAGCTCTTCCTCACTCATATTTGAATACCATCCCACGTGAGGGGCTCATCTTCTGGCACTAATTCTGACGATGTTCCTGAGTTTTTCAGTATGTGACACTGTTTTGCTGCTATCCATGAGGTTTTCAATGGCTAATTCATCAGAAGTGGACAGCCTATATATTTTGCAGAGTCAGTTCTTAGTCTGGAAGCTCTGCTGAAACATTCACTTTGGGGATCCCTGCTGGTACTCGAAATACCAGTTAACAAAGCTTCCAGCAACACAGCAACACACAAACACAGCAGAATGACAAACTGACAGACAAGTGGTAGACTCTAGTCCTCACGCAGGATCAAGTGCAAGCATCTGCCTTTGCAATCCCCTTGGATGGTTCCAGTGCCCCTCAGAAGGGCAGTATTGCCCACTTTGGGAAGCACTGTTTTAGACCAAGCTGAGCAAACATTCTGCACAGGCACTCTTGGCAATTCCTTTTGAAAGCCAGAAACCCAGATTCTGTCCTTGTCTATTACAAGCACTGAAACGGTGACTGCCGCCCCCCCCCAAAAAAGAAATAACCTAAATTGTCTTTTTGATGAAAAACCGGAATTGTCTTTCGGCAAGGCCATACGTTTCTAGGTCAGATTGCTGTTTGATTCAGATGGGGTTTTGATTTAGGCCTGCAACCCCAAACCAAATCCACTGCCATCAAGTCAATTCCAACTCAGCTCCGCTGTGGGACAGAGTCCAGTCGCTCCTGGGGTTCCCAAGGCTGTGTGGAGTTCTTCATGGAGCACACGGACTCAGTTTTCTCTCAAGGAGCCGCTGGTGGGTTTGAACCGAAAACCTTTTGGTTAGCAGCTCAATGATTAACCTACCAGGACTCCTTACATTAGGCCTGAAGTCACCCATTTCTGGTTATGCTAGCACCGCAGTTTTAAAATTCAGTCTACACACCTGGCCTGTACTCAGCACAGGGGCAGTGGCCTTGGTGTCTAGCATGATGTAGCCTTCGTCTGTGACCAGGAAGTCTTGTGGAGAGCAGCTCCGTTCAGCACAGCCTTCTGCAGTGAGGGGAGAGGCCAGCAAGGAATAAAACAGTGTTATTGTGCGATGTTAAACCACATAATCCCATGCTTGACTAAAGCCCAGGAAGATGGCTCCTGGCCACTGCTACAAAGGCCCCTCTATCTTCTCCAGGGCCCTAGGCATACTGACATTCTATCTGGTTGAAGACTGCACCGTGCAAATAATTAAACACAGTACCTTGAAGGCCCCATAAATCAACAATGAGGGCGTTGGTCTGTAAATAATTCAGAAACTCTCGAGACGTGGTTAAGGTTACAAACTGGACAGTCTCTTCAATTTGGGGGTTCATGTTTTTCCATACAGGCTTGGTATATAAAACGTTTGGAAGATCATAAATTCTGTACCTGAGAGAGGAGCACCAGACATAATTACGATCAAATGGGGCACATTTGTGAAGAAAAGGACCAGTTGAGCCACAGGCTTGCAGCCCAAGTATCAGGTAGTCGATAAGAATGGCCTCATACTGATTCTGGTGTTTGGGGCCATGATCTCCCCGGACTCACCTGGGCGTCCTCACTACACGGGTGGTATTACATGTCTAACAAATAAGAAAATGATTTTGATAAACATGTCCTACTTGAAGTCTAGCGTTGTTCCATTTCCAAGTAAAGTGGTTTCGGTAGTATCCCCCAAACCCAGCCCCACCCTCTCTGGACTGTTTCAACTTTTAATATCCTTTTAGTTGAATTCACTTAAGTATAACGGGTGCTTCTGCCATGTGGTATTACAGACGTTTTCTCTCCAACAACAAAAACCAAAACCAAAAAGATGAATGTGCTCAGATAATGCCGTTTTACTGGCTAGTCTTTCTAATTAGAATATGTGACTCAGCTGCTTCTATCCCTTGGGAGGGCAGCAGGTGCTGACAGACCCCAGCGTGGAGGCCATGTGGCTTCTCCAGTCAACAGATGGGCAAAGAGTAATTTGGGGCTTGAGAAGACAGTATGAGGGACTTTAATGGCCAGCTCCTTTTTGAAAGCTTGAGGAAGGGCTCCTCCTCCACCACCCCTCAGGTAAGTGGTTGCGTTCAGCAGTGCCACCGGCCAGGTGGGTACCCAAGCTGGATGCCCCGCCTTGCATCCTCCTTCAGCCACTTGATGCCGAGGCACCGGACAATGTGAATCTGGAAGTCCATCCTCTTGCCCAGCATCTCCGAGGGGTCAACCACCATGTCCTCCTCAGTGTGTGCTCTACAAACAGAAGAGGTGAATAGAGATCACAGGCGAGCCTGCGCTAGGTGGTCAGACTCATGATCAAAGGGGGATTCAATAGCTCCCTTAAGAGATAATTAAGCGACTGAGCCAGGATAGGTTATATTGCGAGCATTTATTCACTCCAGAGATTTAATGAGACTCTGCCACTCTGTGTAGGCACTTCAAGGTAAGATGAGTCTTCTCAGAGAACTCACGGCTAGAGGGACACAGGAAGCTAACCAGCTTGGGGATGAGGCTGCAGTTGCTTATCAGTAGATGCCCAGCAGGAGAAGGGGAACCCTTGGGGAAAGTACTGCTGCTCAACTCTTGGTGAGTCAATGAATGTCAGTCAGGCCTACAAACCCATCAGTCCATTTCGCCGTCTCCTCAAGTGAGGCTCTCCATCAACCTGAACTAGAGTGCCTCTTTCATAATTCACAGTGGCAATGACCGCTGCCAGGCAGCCTTGGAAGCTGGCAGTAGCTAAAGGAGGGTGCTTGGTGTGCGTGGAGTCAGTTACCACAGCGTGGTTTCTCTTAACAACTCCCTCTGGAGCCTCAGCTTCCAATTCAGAAAATCAAAAAGATTGCTTTGAGGGCCCTGACACAGGACCAAACCCATGTCCTGCCTCTTGGAATAGACCTGTTTGAGACTTCAGCTTTTGTAACAACAGCTTACAGCCTAAAACAAGAAAGCAGATACGCTGTCCTAAGAGGAGGGTAAAAGGCAGTAGAGCAGACTTGACGACCCCAGATAAGAGATTTATACCCATGGAAAGGAAGGTAAGAGCACAGCATGAGGCTGGGTAAGGAAACAGCCCTCTCAGTCCCTCACTTGAAGGGCAGGAGTGGAGAGGGTTAAGCTGGACAACCAGCTCCCTGCTGACCCCGAGGCCTCATCAGCAGGATGGCCTGCCCCCATCAGCCTGGGAAGGAGAACTGCCCATTGCAGAAGCCAGCCCTCGCAGGGACCAGGTGAGACCACTCCACCCTTGGCCTTTGCTCCGCAGGCCCATTGTATGGAACCAACCCAGGTCTTTTGGTTCAGGTCCGGGTTCCTTCTTCATGCTGCCTCTTTGTGGGATGCCCTCCCCTAGGGTGGTGGTCAATTGCTTCAGCTTATGCTGGGGGTAGGATTTGAAACATTCCGGGTCAGATGATGGAGCAAAACTAGATGTAATGAAGGTGAGTCCTGAATGCATGAATGAGTTCATTCCTTTGTCTCCTAAATGAACAACTTGAGAACCACGTTGACACTAGACCTCAGGCTTGCTATGCATTTTCTATGACTTAGAACCCACTTAGACTAGGAACAGGGAGAGACACCTACTGTCCCGTGGCTGAGCAGGGGGTTATGTACATATGCAACACGGCCTCCTCCAGCCCATCGCAGTTCAGAAATTCCACTTGCTCCTCAAGCTTCATGCAGTAGGCAAGTGACTGGAGCCAAACGTGAGCCGAGCCCAGGAGCACAATCTCAACAGGGTCCCAGAAAGGGTCAACTTCTTGAGCCACATAGCTGTCTCCTCCATCTAGAAAGCGCTGGTAGAGTTCCTCCATTAGGAATTTCCTGTTGATAAACTTGGCCTTTGACCATATCCACACCTGGAAACACAAAGGCAGCTTGTGTTAGTCTTGGTGGACTTGAGAAACAAATTCATAGACACATGTGTAGAAGAAAGCTTTATATAAAGAGTAATTGTCTATCCCAGCCCAGTCCAGATCAAGTCCATAAGTCTGATATTAGCCCATATGTCTGATACCAATCTATAGAGTCCTCTTCAGACTCACGAAACACATGCAATGATGTCGAATACAGGAAGATCACAGGCCAGTGGGTGGGGAGTCTTGTGGATCCAGTGGTGTTGTAAGCCTCAGCGCTAGCAGGGTTCTCCACGTGGCTCCTCCAGCTCAGGGCACTAGCATAGCTCCATGTGTCTTGTCAGCTGCAATGTCTCCCAGGGAGTGAGTGTGTGTCCCGCCTCTAATGAGTTATTTACCTCCTTGGTGCCTCCAAATGAAGTCATCAAGTTGCAACCTGATTGACAGGCTAAATTCCACCCCTTCATTCTTAAGTCTCAAATTGACAACAGATTATGTAACTACCACACAGCTCGCCAACATTCCCCAGCGTGAGCTCTTTGATGAACCAAAACCACATAAACACTCGTACATTATATTTATTATATTCATACATGGGTATGTTCTTCACCTCTGCTAACGTTCAGAAAATGACTTAGAGGACTTGATGAAGGATTTCACTCAGGAGAAATCCAGATCTGGGCGTTGTGGCAGGAAAAATAAGGGACTCTAAAGATGTTCGTGTCCTGATCACCAGAACATGCAAGTACATTACACATGGAAAAGACAAGTGAAGGCTGCACATGGAATTAAGGTTGGGAATTAAAAAAAAAACAAACAACAAACCAACTTACTGCCATAGAGTTGATGCCGACTCTTAGTGAGCCTTTAAGTCGGGATAAAATTGTCCTTTGAGCTTCTGAGACTGTAACTCTTTACAGAAAGAGAGAGCCCTGTCTTTCTTCTGAGGAGCAGCTGCTGCTTTTAAACTGCTAACCTTGCACATTGCAGCCCAACTGCTAACCGCTAGGCCACTAGGGTTCCTTAAAGTTGGGAATCATCTGACCTTAACATAAGGAAAGGGGCCTGGATGGTCCAGATAAGTCCAATATAACCACTACAGCAAACCCCCCTGCCACTGAGTCAATTCTGCTCATAGCAACCTTTCCACAAAGGCCGCTAAATGTGGGCAGCAGGAGATGGGTGAGGATAAGAGCAAGAGGTATGTGGCTGAAGCAAGGTTGCAGGAATGGGACATTGCTGGTTTGAAGATGGAGGGGGGCGTGTCACAAGCCAAGCAATGTAGGTAGCCTCTAGAAAACCCCAAGAGGAGTGATACTGCCCGCTGGGGGTGTTGGAACGATCCAGGTAGGCCTACACTTTATCCTGGAGTTTGAGTCAATGGGGGCCGGGATAGGAGAACTGAGAAATCTTTTGTACTTTCTGAAAAGTGGGCAGTAAGTCAAGTTTGGGAACCTATGCTCTAGAGCAGGGGGGTGGGGAGGCGAGGGGCGGGGCAGACATCTGGCTTGTGGCCGTATAAGGCCCATGCAATCGCCCATACAGTTATCATATGGCTCACTAAAGAGAAGCTGTGACAAACAGCAGGAGAGGTGGACATAGCTGACCTTCTCTGGCTTCCCATTGCCACGAGGCAGGGCTCAGACAGGCCTCCACACTCCATCTTTCTTTACCTATTCAGACTGCCCCCGTTCCTCCCATGCTACTCTGCATCTCGGCTGGATTTGATCATTTACTGCAGCGATCGCACCGAACCAGCAGACAATACAATCAGAGGGTTCCTAGGGAAGGCGGAGGCGGCCCTGGTGGCAGCGTGCTTACTTTTGGTCTGCTACCTGCAAGTTCGGTTCAAAACCACCGACCACTCCTTGGGAGAAAGACAAGACTTTCTACTCCCATAAAGAGTTACAGTCTCGAAGAGCATAATGCTTCCTTGATGATATAGCCGGGAAAGTTGGGGGGAGATGGGGAGCTAATAACAATGAGGGCAAGAATGAAGAAAATGTTCTAAAACGGATGGTGGTGATGAGGGTACAATTCGTGCTATGACTAAACTATTGAATTGTACGCTGCATGACTGATAGGCCAATGGAACTGTTTAAAAGAAAGCATGCATTCCAGACTAGCACTGCTTGCAGGGTTTCCTTGACTGTGACCTTCATAGGAGTAGATCACCAGGTCTTTTCCCTCCCTGGTGCCACTGGGCGGTTTCGAACCATCACCTTTTGAGTCCTGGCTGAGCTCACACCATTTATATGTCCCAGGGACTCCCCCTCCACCCCGCCCATGTTTCTTTCAGTCTTCAAAATCACACACACAAAAAATGCTTTAAACGCTACCAGAAGTTCCTACAAACTTTTTAGGGGCCTTCCCTTGAGGAAAGCTCGTGGTTTTTCATCTTATTTTTTAAAGGTAACAATGAAGAATCTTGGGTCGGGCAGATCAGTACAATTAAGCTCTACTTGAGAGAAGACACTAATCACACAGAAACATCAGCACAAAGTGAATTTGTGTACAGAATCCCCGAAAGAGACTACAGGATGGCTTATGCAGAAGCAGTCCATCAAACACATTATCTGTGCCTTGTTCAAGGGCATAGGGGCCACAGCTGGTCTCCCCTGGCTACACCAGGGAAAAAGAAAATCCATCTCATGTCTGCCTAAGGCAGACTGCTACAACACAGAGGTCAGACAGAAGGCCTTCACCTTCCATCCTCCTTTACCCATCTATCCTGAGACCAACTGCTCCGCCCAGGGCCCTCCTTCCCTGCTGGGCGTGGTAATCCATTGCAGTGTCCTGTAGGCCACTCTGAGTTGGGATTGACTCCATGGCAGTGACTTTTTAGAGTGTGGGTTCAGCTCAGAAGGCCTCCCAGGCCGGTAGCACAGAAGAATTCATGCCCGACCTTCTCCAGGTGAGGTCCTTCCTGGAGACGGTCTCCGCCCACTCCACCAAGACCTTGGCGGCACAGTCAGAGAAGGCATGTCAGCCTCAAGCATGCTTTCCTCCAGCCCCAGACACTGGGTTCCAGTTTACAGTATTACTTGAACACTTGTCTATGTTTGCATGCATACTTCACTGTGTGTATAATTCACATACCATATAATTGATCCACTTAAAGGGCACGATCCAATGGATTTTAGTAGATTAACAGAGTTGTGCAACCATCGCTACAATCATTTTAGAAAAAAAATTAATACCCTCAAGAGAAGCCATTTATATTTTAACAGAGCATATCTTAAACTAAAAGAACACAAGAACAAAAGTCAAGCCTGGAGTTGTAATATTGAACGATTCTCTGGGCAATATAGTGAATGATGCAGGCAGCATCCAAAGAAGACGGAAAGAACACACAGTCACTGTACCAAAAAGAACTAGGTGGCATTCAACCATTTTGAAAAGTAGCATATGAATAAGAACCAGTGGTCGGGCAAGAGTCCAAGCTACACTGAAAGCAGTTTCAACAAGCTAATAAAGAACCGGGAGCCCTCATTCATCAATCCCAGGAAATTTGGAAGAAAACCACTTGACCAACTGTAAGAGATCCATATTTGTGCCCAATGATAGAATATTCTAACTATCACATGCAAGTAAAATTTTGCCTTAGAGCAGTGGTTCTCAACCTTCCTAATGCCGTGACCCTTTAATACAGTTCATGTGGTGGTGACCCCCCAAACATACAATTATTTTCATTTCTACTTCATAACTGTAATTTTGCTACTGTTATGAATTGGACGACCCTGTGAAAGGGTTGTTCGACCCCCAAAGGAGTTGCGACCCACAGGTTGAGAAATGCTGCTTTAGAACATCCAACAACGATAACAGCAGTATATTGACAGGGAGCTGGCAGGGTTCAGAAGAGGATGTGGAACAAGAGCTATCACTGCTGCTGTCAGATGGAGCTTGGCTAAAAGCAGAGACTACCAGGAAGATACTTGTGTTTTGCTCACTATGGCACGGCAGTTGACTGTGTGGCTCATAATCACAATCTATGGAGAACCTTAAGAAGGGGAGTGCCAGAACCCTTCATTGTCCTCATGCAGAATTTGTATGTGGATCCAGAGGCCTCTGGGAGAACAGGAAAAGGGGATGCTGCATAGTTTAAAATCAGGAAAGGTGTACGACAGGGCTGTGTCCCCTCACCATACTTATTCAATCTGCGTGTGGAGCAAATCATCAGAGAAGCTGGGTGCTATGAAGGAAAATTCAGCATCAGGAGTGGAGGAAGGCTTATTAACAACTTGAGATATGCAGATGACACAATCTTGCTGAGTGTGAGGAGGACTTGAAGCACTCGTTGAAGAAGATCAAGGATCACAGCTTTCAGGATGGATTACAATTCAATCCAAAATCGCCACCACCTGGCCAACAGGTACCATCATGATAAATGGAGAGAAGATTGAAGTTGCCAAGGATTTTTGTCTTTCTTGGATCCACAATCAGTGCTCACGAAAGCAGCAGCCAAGAGCTAAGACACATTGCATTGGGTAAATCTGCTGCCCAAGACCTCTTTAGAGTGTTGAAAAGCAGGGAAGTTACTTTGAGGACTAAGGTGCATCTGACCAAAGCCATGGTGTTTTCAATTGCCTCATCTGCATGAGAAAGTGGTTCATTGAATAAGGAAGACCAAAGAAGAATTGATGTGTTTGAATTATGGTGCCAGCAAAGGATATTGAAAGTACCATGCACCACCAAAGGAACAAAGGAATCTGTCTTGTTAGAAGTACAGCCGGAATGCTAGTTGGAGGGAAGAACGGCAAGACCTTGTCTCATGACCTTTGGACAGGCTATTATGAGAGACCCGGCCCTGCAGAAGCACATCATGCTTGGGAATGTAGAGGGGGCAGCAAAAAAGAAAAAGACCCTCAGCGAGATGGATGGACACAGTGGCTGCAACCATGGGCTCAGGCATGGGAACCACGTGAGGACGGCGCAGGACCGGGCAGTGCTTCATTCTGTTGTGCATCGGTCACTGTGCATCGACACAAACTCAGTGGCCCTAACCACAGCAATAGCATATTTCTCCATTGCCTTCAGTTTCCCACTTCTAGGCAACAGAACATATCGATACAGTTAATGTTAATAAATAATTTTATTGGGGGCTCTTACAGCTCTTAGAACAATCCATACATCCATTGTATCAAGCTCATTTGAACATTTGTTGCCATCATCCTTTTAAAAACATTTTCTTTCTACTTGAGTCCTTGGTATCCGCTCCTTTTTTTTTTTCTACCACTGGGAGGCGGAGTCTGAGGGCACCACACAAGACATAGCACCCATCAAGGACAGAAGGGATAGTGTGATGTTAAGATTTATTTTGCCAATCTGGCCAATGAACACGTGGGAGTAATTGAAAGGCGGAGAGA